ACTGTACTTCCCTTGACGCGCCGACGAGAGTCGCGCAATGAAAATGTCACGAAAATAAAGTGCACGTTTCTACACTATTTGATATATTCGAGGAGTCGAAGACGTGTAAAAATGATTAGAAAAGACTAAAGATTTACAGAAATAATATTGTACTTTACTTGTTTTTTTTTACTCGTATAGTCATAAATTATAAATTGAATAACGTGTTGTATAAGTTCATCTTCTTATAATTATCTGTTTAAATATTTTTATATTATTATCTTTTAGCAAATTAATATTAACTTCCTTTGTATTTGTTTTGGAAACTTTAATTCGTATTAATAATATAATTTTACATTTTAATGAGGAACCGAGATATATGAAATGATGTAATTACCTTCTTGCTGCGCAAATATAATAGAGAGTATATAAATGGAACGATGAATTAATACGTTGTTTTTTTCGGAACATTAATAAAAAAGATCGGCATTATCAATCAAGAATCTAAAAATTCGAAAAATTGGACTGATTGTGTAGTTTCGTTTATCTCGTTATTGAGTTACACAAAACGCTGAGAACAGCTGCAGCCGTCACTTTCCGCTGCGATCAGCCGCGTACGAGTGATAAGAACTATGATGGACGACCTGTTATTACCAAACGTCAGAAGGCACTGCGATTTCCACAAGAATTATTGCCAAATACTGTTCTAAAGTAACGGTTTAGCTGTACGTTTGACGTGCCATGACTTTTTATATCGCGGATACTCTTATACCGCGATAAAAGAATAAGCAGTTGATGATCGCAGGAGTCTTTAATACTTTTTACGAAATCTTAGTATGTATTAATTTGTAAATTTTTAATACCTATAAATGTACGGTGAACAAAACATTTATTCGTGATGTTATAATTTTTTTCAGTAATTATTCAAATACTGAATAAAGTATAAGAATTTGTCTTATAAGGCAAACCAATCGTAATTATCAAGATTAATTAATTAAAAATTGAACTTGCATATTACACTCACATTTGTAGCTGTATCGCGTATAGTAACAATTTCTGAAATAAAAGCCTTTTTAAATAAATGATAATGAAATATTTGGCTGTCAGTTCATATTACATTCGTGACATTAATTATTTGTTTAATTTAATATCTGAAATTTGATTTCTCTTCGAGAATAATCCTGTCCTGGCTGTTAAATTAATTAAACTTTCATGTTGCTGATATAATCGTTTGTTCTACGATGTTTCGGCAAGGAATATTTCTGATCGCGTTTGATGTATGTATGCTCCTCCAATTCTGCTTCCGACAGACAATATCTTCTTCGTGTCAATATTACTATCATGGGCGGGAAATCGTAGTCTTTTATGAGCGGAGATGTACAGGGAATCGGTGAAATGATATTTTTTGTATGTGCACTGGTTACGAAATAACTAGATTTATTAAAGTCGTCTTCGTATTACCCTCGTATTACGCCCGGGTAGACTGTATAATTAATCGGCAGCCACGGGACGTGACAGAAAAATCGACGTCCCGTCGTCGTGACGGATGACGTCGCGCGGCTACGACGGGAAGCGGCTATATGTGAGTTATCCTATTAAATATTCAATTATTTCTGCCTTCCACTCCTGACGTCTGGAATTCGCTCGGCGCGACGGCGCGCGCTGCGTCGAGCCAACGCCGCGCCGGCGGGGCCAAGTTTAATCCCTATTCATAGACTCAATCGAGTGATTTCGAATAAATCCTTCCAGCGTTCCGCGAGATCCGCTGCAATTAAAATACTTTAATATCCTTTGGAGCACGTATCCGCTCCGGGCAATGCCTTCGCTGTTCGCGAACCTTTCACCCAAACTCGTTGCTGCCTCCGTCGCCGCCGCTACCGCCCATTCCTAGCTTCTTTTTGGTACAGTTACTCTTATTAAACGTCCCATTCCTTTTCGAGAAAGCACGTTCGCCTCTCGTTCAAAGCCTTTATAGAGAAGGTAAGTCAGGCAAATTCGGACTCTCCCGATTTCCTGTATTGCAACGAGTAGTTGTGCAAATAGTCGATTTCGCAATATGGCTTTACAAAGCCACGATTCACTTTGAGACAAGGAATGTTTAAACGACTATGCTAACATACTATTCTTGGACACGCAATTTCTGATTGTATCCAATGTGATAGTATTCTCCGGACATCTTACAACATGTTGAAAAAACTATCGAACAAAAATTGAAGTAAAAAGATGAAAATAATTTATCATAATTCTGTCGGATGATCTATCATACCGATACATTGGACGTATGTTAGGAACATTTTGCAAGAAGAAACTAGAGCGTCATCTGTGTGAAATCGCTTAAGAGGAAGTCGATCTTTATACGATCATCATTTGAAAGTGGCACAAAGCGAGGTTATCAGAACTCCAATGATATATCCAGAATAATTCTAGGATACTGGAATATCCGAATTCGAATGTTATTTATTATGAAATCCACAATTCCTTTTTAATAATTATCAGTTATAGGAGTTCATATAAATGTACTTGTTTTTTCAGTGTTAGATTTCATTTCTTTAACAGTGTTATATAATTTTTCGCTGACATGCTCGATACTTTAGTTAAATATTATTCTAAAATATCAATTTACAAATGACAATATTATTTTTAATGAGAAAAAAGATTAGTGTTACATTTTTGTATTTTTTGAACAGTTCTGAATATTTTATTTATATATAAAATGATTTTTTTTTGAATTTAGAGGATTAGCGTTTTACTACTACACATATATATGTATATCACGATAAAAGCTTGTGTTTTTAACATAGGCACTTGTGCAGTACATGATATACATGAAGATCGGTTTTTGTTCCATGTCGCTACGTCGATTTTTTATGGAATTACACCGTTTAGAAAATCCGGTACGCATACCCATTCATAAAAGATCGCCGTGTATACACTTTTTGTATGTAATTTGACAGGTGAACTAATCCGTTACTAAAAAACAGGTGCGAAAGCGTGTACAGTACACGTGCTTTGTAACATGATATGCCGTATCGAGAGAACCACGTACGCTGGTCAACACTCTGCCACTGGATCGAAAAATCACACGGGTCAATATAATCGCCAATATCGTTGCACAAAAAATTGCAACAAAATAATTCCGTTTCAAAACTGTGACTCTGTCATTTCTAACAAGCGTAAGACTATACCTAAATCATTAGATTGCAGAAGTGGTTATCGATGATTAATTATAAAAATAACATTTATGCTTTTCGTTCAGAGATCTCCATTTTTAAAGATCCATTGCTAATAAAGCAGTTATATACGATTTGGCGAAATAAAATATATTCCAAACTTTTTCTAATTATCGTTAAATATTAGCTGATTTTTTTAATAAATGAAAGAAATTACTCGGATATTACATAAGAACATGATGATATGTCAATTCAAGATTTATAATTTACTACAGAAGATTTTGCTGTGTTTAATTTTGGCAGAAAATTCTTTGTCCTCCATCTCAATTTACTTCAAGTTGGCTTCGTTCATTTCCCGGCTAAATTGGCTGAATCCCGGCCGAACTTTTCGGGAATGTCGTACTTTTTTTGAACTAAGTCACGGCCTGGCCTTATTTCATGCGAAACGGCGCCGCATCTCACAAAGTTCGCCAAGGATACTGTAGCGTTAACACGATCGAGCTTGCCTTGGCAACGTTAAAGGCGAGCGGTGTCTTTAGTGGAATAGCTCACCACCCTTCCTGTGATTATGGGGGGCCGGCCTATATAAAAGTTTCACTACAAAACTCCGTCTGACGGTACATGGGATTCACTTCTTCTCTCTTCCATCTACTCTCTTCCTTTTTCCGATATTCTTCCCGCATTTCTCCCCTTCCTTCTGTAATCCTCTACCTTTCATGAGTGTGTTTGCCGACTATGCTCTTCCTTTGTTCCCTAGGGTAGTTCCACATTCGTGAAAGAGGTATACTTTCAAGTAGCCAATCCGACAGCTGCGTCGAATCCGCGGCTTCACTGTAACGAGGTCGATGGCAGAAGAGAGAGGGAATGAACGGTAACAGTAGATCCAAAATAGTGAAGAAAGAAATAGGCTACAGCTAAATGAAGGTTTGGTGGCAAACAGTAAAAGGAAGACCACCGAACTGATACCGGAGTCACTTCTACATTTATAAATAATAATCGGATAAATGTGACTTTTTGGGTTCTTTTTTTCGAACATTTTTGTCAGTTAAATTATTATTTTTTTTTTAATTCTGCGACCATTGCACTTACATTACTGATAATAAATTTTTTAGATATAATATCTAATAATTTTGAATGAGAGACTTGTTCAACTGTTCTTCTCTCTCTTCCCCATTATTTTATTTCTTTATCTCTCTATATCTCTCAGATGATTGAGAATAAACAAATAGTCCATCAATACAATTTTAAATATAAAATTGTTAGCATTTGTAATCTCATATTTAAAGAAGCAACTTCCTGTGATCTAATTATTTTTGTGTTTATAAGTTTAATTCATGCTATCATTAATGAGGAATTACATATTATATTTTGTTAAAAATATTCATAAACAATTATCATTATGCATTTACACAAGAAAAAAGTTAATGTTTTAAATTTATTAAGATTAAATTTTAACTTTTTTCGACGTCGGTACCTATCATGGAACAAATTGAAATAGATTCGATGGGAATTATTTTGTTTCCCCTCGAAAACGCAATAGAAATCTAGCGAATTATTGAATAATTTTGATCGGAATCTGTTCGGAATAATTCCATAATACCTACTTCTTTTTTTCCGACGGTTGATTCGACGATTAATTTCAAGTAGTTAATTAATGAATAATGTATTTATGGCAATTTTTTTGGTCTATAAAAAATGTCGTGAAATCATAAATATCGAGAGAAGTCGCTTGCAGCCAACTCACTCGGCTGATGCGAACTGCGCGACGACGTTAACGCAAATCCGCGGACCGTGCGTGCTGTTTCCAGTGCGTTAATTCGTATATCCACCAGCTTTCCGCTTGTGTTTCAGACAATGGACCGCCTCCCGTGGAGCAGAGCGATGACGGATGGTTGAACTTCACAAAAATCACTCGGGCCGAGAGCGGCTGGTACAAGTGTTATACGCGGCATATGCTCGGCATTTTCACCAGCATCGGATATTTTCTCAATGTTCGCTGTGAGTAAATCGTTGTCACGCCACTTTGTCGCTTTCAATAGCGTACGTAGAATTTCTCGCGCATTCGAGCGGAAACGTCAAGTTAATAAATGTATCTCCTTCGACAAAAAGAAAAGAAAGAGTATTTCTTTGAAAAGAATAATTTTTCATAACTTAACTCGCTAAATTGAAACTTTTACGATACCTTCAATATTAATTTTTATCTTAGAATTAAATAATAGATCTTTGCCAGTATAATTCAGTATTATAACGATTGATAAAACAATAAACGGTATAACATGATTTATATGTATAATTATAGGGATATGATTTAATTAGATGTTTCTTTTGTGAATTACTTTATATACAGTTAATAGAATGTAAAAATATACTTTTTAAAAAAAATTACAATTTAGAAAATATATTTAGATCCCTTACGGAAATAAATTTGTAAGCTATATTCTTCACAGTCTGCCAAACTGTGTTTCTATATGAACTTTTTATTTTCAAAATTAGTAATTTATCAGAAAAATTAAAATAATATTACATAATGTTCGAAATATGTATAAAGCGACGGTAGCATCGATGAAAGACAATTACGTTGCAGTGCATCTTTTGGCTGATGCATTGTCTACCCCTTATGCATTTGATAGTGCTCGAAGAGACATTCTCCCTGATTCGGAATGCGAAGGGGGTCGTCGCTGCAGCCAATAACCGGATACCACAGTCATTTGTCAAGAGCGGAAACCACCGAGCCAACCGGAAATTATCCGTGCCCCGTCGTGAAAATTTGCAAATTTCCTACCTAGCCCCATTCCTTCCATCTTGCCATTATAACTAGAGGGCAATGCGCTCCCTGCATCTCAAACCCACGGCCCTCGTCTCTCTCTCTTTCCCCATCCTCTTGTCTTCTATCTAGTTCTCTACTCTTCTCTATCACACCCATCTTCTTGCTCTCTCTCTCTCTCTCTCGATCTCTCGTCTGCTCCTTCGACCGACGATGCTGGATACGGGCTTCCGAGCACCTAATCTCTACGCAATTTAGATGGCTCGAGAGCACCTATAAACCAACCATCCTCCTTCGTGGGAATTATCGATTACACTGCTACTATGTCCTGTTCGAATCTCCTCCTGGATTACTTATCCGCCGGATAACGTCAAGGCGGGTTTAAACCGACGTGCTAATTTCGCCGGCTTGTAGACAGTCTACAGATAGGACGTAGTTTAAAGGGACAGAAGTGATAAGACCAGCGCTATATCGACAGGCGAACAGATTTTTCTCACGTAACTGTTACCAGCACAGATGATGCAAACTTACATTATTTTTTATACGTTATGTACATATTTGAATATAATTTTTAATTCTTATTAACGACAGAAAAAGAATATAGAAAGGAAATAGATAGAAAAAGAAATTATATATAATAAGAATCATATATTAAATTGTTTTTATTAAAAAATACTTTGTGATAGTAATTCAATAATTTTGAAATATTCAATTTATCCAAACATCTTGGATGTGCATGATTCAATTAGTAGGAACACGAAAAGCATATCAAAGTAATTAGAGATAACGCGATCACAGACGGACGAGTATATGAGAACCTTAATCACCTTAGTGCACGCGAATCGCATTAAGATTTAGAACGATCACAAGCCACTACTGTAGAAGAAGAGACGCAGATCAAATTTGGAGATAACGAGAGCTGTCGAAGAAAGGAGTAATACGAAAAACGTCAAATTATCAGGCCTGATTACCGGGTCCTCTGTTTTCTCTCTTTTCCTTTCCTGTGTTTGTTAAAGCACCAACGGTGGTGTTTGCTGTAAAATTCCGAACAAACTACAAGACAAACGAGATATAGTTGGGAGCCGTACGAGCATGAGAGGAAGTGAAAGCCTCCTATCGCATCCGTACCACTTTGATCCCTTTGTTTTGCTATAGGATGAGCTGGAGGATCAGCTTGCTAACTCAAAGGACTGCTACGTCCTCCCATTCCTCTGCCCCGCTTCTTTCTCTTTCTCAGCCGAATTCCGCTGGAGCAGTCCGGCTCTAATTCCCGAACAGAGATACGAGCAGTCTCTGCACACCATCTACTCTCTCTTGTCCCTCCGCATTTTCTCTGCGCCCTCCCCCCCCCTCTCTCTCTCTCTCTTTCTCTGCGATTGTAGACATAGCACTAGCTGGAGAGCAAACAATCGCAGCCGTATAATTCCATAGGTGGAATCGGAAAAGGGAGAGATGAGGAAGGGTAGAAGTTGGAACCGACAGTACGTAACGTCATGGTGGGGAAAAGATTTTGTCGAACCCGGCACGTGAGGGTAGAGAGATACTGCCCCAACTTTATCTCTCGTACGTGCCACTGATTTCTGATACCACAGTAGTTCTTGGATATCGATGACGATATCGAAACCGGAATTCAAAATAATGTAAAAGGTGAATGTGTTGAAAATTCTTAGAAAATTCTCACATTTACGGTGCGCAAAAGTTATTAATTGTGCAACACGTTTTAACATTTTCTTCTAGCGTTTAGAAAATATTTAGATATATTTATATATGTAATTATATAATATAATTATAGAATCTAGCAGACAAAATATATGTAGCGATAAATATAGGAGCATCCTACCTAGATTTTTAAGTGCAAACAAATAAAATTCAAAATTATATTTTTAAAATGGATTATTGCATATATATATATATATATATTTCATCACGGATCATATCCATAAAATATAAAAATCTAAGAAGAAAGTCTAAATAGGCAATTTACAATAAGCCATTACCTAAGCTTTAATTTTTAAGCCTTAAAAAATTGATCAATTACAGGTGAATGTGAGAAGAGATAATCGATTATAAATAATTGATCAATTTCTTACGGCTTAAAATTTAAAGCTTAGATAATAGCTTATTGTAAAAACCTATTAAAATTCCATTCTGAATGCGCTATTCACATTGTGGATTCATTTTCGTGCATTGTTTCATCTCCCTGTGGCCTATACGTTTAAGTTCAACTTTTGAATTTGCTGCTCATTGAGAGATTTAAATCAATGGGATTTAGATGATCCAGATATGGAGACCGAAGCGGAAGCACTGAATGGTGAAGCGACCGATTCTCGGCGAATGGAAGTGCAAATTGGCGGTGCTGTGACCCTCGAATGCGACGGCGGTTGTTGGGGCCACGGACCTGGAATGGATCCAGTAGGAGGGCCTGGGCCCCTCGCTTTGAGCCGCGTAGTATATCAAGAAGCTGGGGAGTATCGATGCGTCGCGCCAGATCGAAAAATGCAGGACACGTGGCGAGCTCAGTTACCCTATCACATCAAGGTTACAGGTAAGTTCGATAAAATTTCTATCAGAATAGACTACTACATTCTCGATGCTTGCATTGCATGGATTTCCCTACCTTCACTCGCTCGCGTATATACATCAGCAGTGCGTCTCTGGAGTCTGAGGAATTTTTTTCTGTCTGCGAGCACGCTAGCCAAATGCGATAGAGATTATCTGAAAACCGATTAGACGTTCACAGTGCGCGTCCGCAAGTTACAAATTGAATTGCGATTCACATGACGTTGATAATGCGCGAGATGCATTGTTGCCGCGATTGGTATCTGACGAACATAACATTGTGCGGCGTGTCGCATTGTACCCGGTTGCATTGTAGGTTGCGGCTAACTACCTTGCCCGCTATCTGGTTCTAAATTTAATTATAACAGTCGACATTGAATTAACCGTGTTACAGTATAACCGTGTTAACGGTGGTAACACATTAATTATCAGCTTAAACTTTTGACGACCTGCTGAGAAGTATGGCAGAACGTCTCTCTTTCTCTCGTGCGGAGTTAATGCATTCCTTTAATCCGTTTAATGTAGTTACGTTTCGGTAAAACAAATAAACTAGAGCCACACTCAAATGGTACAATTTGTACATTTACATTTCATGTACACTTGTGTACACGAAGTTTGTTACGGTACGTACGCGGTTCAGCGAGTCAAATAAGATACTCCATTATGAAATGCACGAATTACGTGAAGAATTAAAGGACATACATTTGACAGAAATATCTCAAATTCTCAATTAATTACATATCATAACTACATTTTATCGAAGAAATTAAATAGATTAAATAGTTAAATATTTTTAATTTAAATATACATAAGTATAAAGTTTTCACAATCAAAGTGCAGTAAACAAATCTATACAAATATCCTTATTGAAATTGTGCGCGCGCGTACACACAATTTGTGTCCATTTAAATCTAGCTTTAATTAGGAAAGTTTTATGAATAGTATTTCATCATATCAAACATTTAAAACGCAGAGAAATATTTTCCTAATCAATTTTAAACTTTAAGAATTGCACTAAAGATAGCCTATATAGAATTTCATTTTTATTTTTTACTGTGGTATTTTTACATTTATAAAAATTTATATTGTTCTAAATAAATATTTAAAAAAATAACGCTAATAATGCGCGAGGCAACACTGTAAATTCATCTTCGTTTCGAATAAAAAAAAGACACGCCACGTTTTTAGTGACAAAAATTCTATAGAATGTAAAAGTGGGAGACAGAAATTTTTGGTTCGTTATATTAATTCGTTCCTTCAGATAAAAACCGTTGCGGCTAGTATTACATCGTAATTATGATAATATTTTTTAATGGATATGGCCGAATAATAACCATCATAATGTTTTAATGTTACCACGTGAAGCCATACGGCTAACGATTGCATAAAACTTACACACCATGTGTAGAGTAATTAAATACTTTTTCACCGTCACATTACGGTTGGAAGGAATTAATTAAACGATGAGAATGTGAAGCATTTTCATTTGTTATTAAAGCTTCGTAATAGCTTTCAGTATCATTTGCTGTTGTACATCGCACCACGTTATAAGGCTATAAAAAAATATATATATTATTATTTTTGTATATTCTTCGTGAATTTAATCTCTAATAAGTGCTATTTTGATACACTGTGACTGAAATAATATACAATATAAATATTGTACAACAGAAATACATCACAAGTCCATTGAAATTATTATTTGTTATTATATTTGCATATATATACAATTAACTGCTATTTTTATAGTATATTATATAGATTTTATTAATTATTTGTAATATTGGATGTATAATCATATTTTTTAAATTGTTTTATCTCTACTACTAATTTTTTAGAAATTACAATTGAGAGTAAAGACATTTCACTCTTCTATTAAATGAAAAGCATATCGTTTTTAATTCAAATTAAATGGTCTTTCATGAACACTGTGAATATTATACAAAATGATTTAATTATGACATTAGTGTGTTTACACAAATAAAAAGAAGATAAAATTTTATATTAACTATAATATATAATATATGAGCTATAATAAATATTGAAATGTACTTATAACAATAAAATATCTTAATATTTTACAATAGTTTTCATGAATGTGCATTAATACAGTTCATCATAATTTATTAAATACTTAGTACTTCTAAGATTTTTTTTTCAATAATTATATTATTGAATACATTTTGCTTTAATATAAATAAACGTATACTAATCGTGTACGAAAGAAGATTTATTTTTTATTTACTGAGAATATGTGAATCTTAGTTTTCATCCAAATCGAAGTTAAAGTTCGAATGCGATTTTGAATATGCATGTTTTTATTTGACGATAGAAAATCTCGAGAGACTAAATGGAAGCGCAAACGCTGATAAAAGTTGAGTACTCGGTGCAATACAGATACTGGTCGTTTAGATGCGCACGTAGCATACTCTTCGGGGATAGTGGTCAACGGAACGTGACGTCGTATAAGGCGAGCAGAATATCAGCTGCGGTTGAGCCGGACCAACCAAGTTGAAAGTCTTGAAACACTGCGCTGAATGTCTGAATAATAATAGTATAAATATTTTGCCTACGCGACGTTAATTGGTATTAGTGAAACGTAACAATTGCGTATAATCAGATAAAAAATTTGAAATATATGAGTGACAAAGCTTCGTATCTACTGAAAAAATACTAAATTTCATTAAATATTTGTTTGAATACTTCTAACAATAAGTAGATATTTACTAAATGTAAACATGTATTTATTTGATTCCAAAACCATTAATTTAATTTGACTATCAACTTTTTTATTGTGTAAATATTTATTTACTGTAAGTGTATATTTATTTAGTATTATTCAAAGAAATATATATATTAAGATTTACTAATTTTTTTTTAATGCTTGTTAAAATATTGGGATTATAAGTAAGAACTAATTTGTGTAACTCCCTACAGGGAGTTGTGCTTTATCGTAATAAAGTTTAACTTTTATAACGTAGCATAGCATTGTCAAAATACTTACTAGACATTCGACAGAATACGCGTAAACTTAATAATGACTACTACTTCTGAGCCGCGTTATAGTGCCGCTACTTTGAAACTCGCGTTTGCGACGCTATGAAAGAAAACAACTTTATGACGTGAAATGGGAATTGTTGTGTCGTAAAGCAATCTCGTGGCCCGGCATACTCTACCGAGGTGATCCCTGCCCCCTTTCTTCGACAAGAGGCCGATGTAGTATCGAACCAAGACTCATAAAACGGGCTATGTATTGGAAATCACGAAACACACTGTTGTCTCGCGGTTTTATTGCTGTGAAATCTCTCCTGTTTGTCTTTGATTCCCTCGACTGGCAACGGTAAAAGGGCACCCTGCCCAAAACTGTCATTGTCACAGCTTTGGAGCGTCGAGACCGAAACGGTCATTTGGCGAGGAGCGCGGATGAAAACGACGCGAAGGATCACGAGCGAGGGAAACGGAGAAGGAGGCAAGAGGGAGCACAGGAAGAAAGTTTGCCAACGTTTAACTTTTCCATTTTTCCTCTGGGGTCTTGTCCTCGTAAAATGGTTCTCGGACATCCTCACCGACACGTCCGCCCGCCTCTGTTCGCCCAGGCTTACGAGAACGCGCGTTGATCTGTCCAAAGGGTGTACAAGGCACGTAGCAGTACGCCACGATATCTCGTTTCGTTTAGCTCTTAACGAGTTTGCGTGGCTCCCGAATGGCTTATAATTTTGGTCTGAAAACTTGAATTGCGAGTGCAAATTAGTCTCCTGTTAATTTTTCACGCGAAAATTCAGACTAAAATGCACAGTTGATATCAAAATAGTGTGTGTGTGTGTGTGTGTGTGCATTCGAATAATTTGGATTTTAAACCTGATCACATGCATAAGATCTATATGAGCAGAAATAACAAAATATGTTAAATATGAGTATTTGGAATTGAAAAAAATATAAAAATTAAGAGGTCTCTAAAGATTCATCAATTTTGCATGAATTAATCCTTCGAAACAGAATATAGTGTGTCAAAAAATATATTAATATATAAAAGTGATTATAATCAATTCTATGAGGCATAGAAAATGAAATTAATATATATTATCGGAATGCTGGAACAAATTTTCACAGAAAATCCTTCTCGATTTTAGCGAATATCACCAATAATTTCAAATTCCACCACCGTCGAAATTGTTCTCGCTCGAGATTCCGGTCGTATTTTGCGGACGTATCATTCACCCGATAAAGAATCACGGGTACTCCGATGAATCCATAGACGATAAAGAGACACTCATCCATTGAAATACGACGACGTTATACGTTTGCGAGAGACGTTGGACAGTTTCGTCTCTCCCTTTCAGCCTCGGATACGACTGTGGAAATATCGTGTATGTCCGGTTATTTTTCCTTGCCCTATTTACGCGAAGATGATAGATGCAGAACGTTTTCTTTCTCTTTTACCTTGTCCGCGCGCGTATATCCCTCATGACCGCCGCGCGTTCTCTATCCGCTTCCTTCCTTCTACCACTATTCAGCCCGAAGCAATCGCTGGAGCAATCCCGACTTCTTATTGATTGCGGCTCGAGGAACTCGTGCGTGTAAGGCGCTCAGCCGTCGGTCGAACGTTCACCATCCCGGCGAATACTTCCTACGTCGTTTCCATGGAAATGAAAAGACACAGAAGGCACACCGAAATTATTTCGCCGTCGTCGATCGTCATCCCGCGCCCTCGCAATAATTTTTCTACCTCACTTTATCACTCGGCGAATAACACCTCCCTCGGGGGTCGTCTAACGCGCGAGATATAAGTTCCTGCTTGTCCGATATCAAAATAATATTTCGCTACGGTCCTAATATGTATTTCTCTAGATTGTTGAGCCTCTTCTTCCGGTTCCACGTTTCCCCAATTTCTCCATAATTCATTCGATCTCGTTTGGTGTATTTTTGAAAAATGCTCCCAAATTTTTTACATCTTTGTGAAATGGAAGAAGTTATTGCAAGCATACG